CATGGCCGGCAAGCCACTCCCACAAAGGAGGCCACACCCACAGAGTAGGTTCGAAAATTTTTTGAAACCCACCACTGTAAAAGTAGTACGCAAAGAAAAGAACAGAACAGAACAACAGAATAGAACAGAATAATAACTATATTACTACTTCGAATGTGCATTAATTGGCCTACATTCAAATGAAATTTGGTGCATACAGCTCTCAAAGGGTCACCACCTCCAATATACACTACACAAACATGACAAATAAATAAATTAACGATGCAAAATTATGCATATACCCACATATGTTATATGACACAGAGAAACAATACAGTTAGTTGTTAGGATGTATACATTTACATGGCGAGAAAAGCAGATCTTGTGAGTTTACCAGATGGATGGCATAGGAAAGAAGGCTGTTACCGAATCTGGTAGAAATACTTCGAAACCTCCTCCCAGAGGGGGGGGGGCAACAGAAATAGACCATGACAGGTGTGTGTCTCTAACAATGATTTGAGCTCTTAAGCACATCGCGCTTATAAGCAGTATCCTGAATGACAGGAAGCGAGCTTCCTATAATCTTGGCTGTCCTTACTCCTCTCTGTATGGACTTTCTATCTGAGGCTCTGCTGCCACCAAACAGCAATGCAGTTTCTTAAAATGCTCTCGACTCGTAACTGTCTTTTCATAAATTGCAGTCACGTGACTTCAGGGAGCTTCAAAGGGTAGTAAATGAGAGCCAAGTGCCCAAAATGGGAGGATTTTAAAACTTTATAACTTTAGGTTACCCGAGGACTATCTGAATCCAGCTTTTAGATCTCTCTTTTGCCCCATATCATTAAGTGATATAATGTGAGGCGGGAAAGACCAGGTTCCATAAGTGAAGGTCCAATTCAACTGATGTATTGCTAAAAAGCACAGGAATCTTCTCAACTAATGGTTAGCACCTGCTTGGAGTTAGATAAGGGTCCATGGAGTTCAAGGAGAGTTAGGCTGCTTAGGGAGTCTAGGCTGATCCCCCTTTTAACTCTCCCCTAGACTCTCCTCCTATATACCACGTTGCAGCCCATTGGGTGCCAGTAGAGCTAGCTGCAGAGTCAAATGAGGAAGCCAAGGAATAGCCTGGGGCAGGTTCGGAGCCTTTGGAAGGCTCTGATAAGGAAACAGCATCAGAGACAGAAACAGAGCTGGGGCCTTCCATCGTCCCCCCAGGTGGAGAGGCCGCTGTCTTTGGGGCCTGAGCTGAGTGAAGGGGAGGAACAGATGGGGCCCATTCCAGATGTGCATATTGCAGAGAGAAAAAGAGAGGAGAGCAAAGGAAAACAATAAGCCGGCTCTCAGGGAGAGGCAGACGTAGACGATAGCCAGCCCTTCCCTGGCTGGGAAATAAATAGGAGGGGTTTGGGAGTGGCCGGTTGTTGCAGACAACCGTTTCTAGTATACAGCAAGCAATTCAGATTTCTTGGCTAAACCCAGGCTTGTTCGGACTAATTACTGTATTTTTCGGAGTATAAGATGTTCCGAAGTATAAGATGTTCCAAAGTATAAAACACACCCACATTTTTACCCTCTTTTAGGGGGGGAAGTGCGTCTTATACTTCGAAAAATACGGTACATTTGATTTTTTTTTGTTTATCCATGTGAATAAAAGACTGTTATTGCCCGGTTATAAAAAGGGGTTTGTTTTATTCACGAGTGAAGGTCTTATCATTACTTGTGAAGGCTGGGTCAGAACATATAGTCTCAGAGAGCTATACCAAATAAGTTTTATTTATGTAAAATAGGGAACAGGACAATGTCTATTTCCATCCATCTCTGAGCTTTTTCAGATCTTTACCCCATGTTCCTTGCTACACACAGGCCTATCACGCAGTGGGCAACTTCCGGGCACCAATAGAAAAGGCTCCCTCTCACCCTCCTGCCAAGGATGCTCTCCGAGCCCTTACGCAACGTGGGCATGACTCTGTTTATCACCAGAATAAGTCGGTCAGCACCGATGAGCTCAACCCCCAGACCCGGCTGGAAGGGATGAACCGGCAAGTGCCACGCGAGAAGAACTCGCTGGGGAGCTTGAAACGGGCGAGTGTTGACGTGGACCTTTTGGCACCCCGGAGCCCTATGGGCAAAGAAAACATGGTGACCTTCAGCAACACGCTACCACGGGTCAGCACCCCCTCAATGGATGACCCTGCTCGCCGCCATATGACCATTCACGTCCCGGTGGACGCCTCCCGATCTAAACAGCTGATCACTGAATGGAAACAGAAATCAGTGGAAGGCCGTGGAATGACCTTGGCAGAAGAGGTGGCGAGGCGGGTTGCCTCCGATTCCTTGGCTGGAGAAGAGGAGGATCATATCCCGCCTTCCTTGTACCCTACCGTCCAGGCTCGGACGGCTGAGCGTGCCTCTATGGGTCCTCGGGTCCTCATCCAGCCAAGACCCAGGGCCACTCAACTGGTCCACATCCCTGAGGAAAGTCAAGCGAACGCCGGTGCTAATATTTCACCCAAAAGCAGCTCGGCTGTGAGGGCCAAGTGGATGATGATGGCTGAGAAGGGGGCCGCCCAACGGGTGGCCAATCCACCGCGCCTCATGCAGGTGATTGCCATGTCCAAACAGCCCGGGATGGTATCGGTGACACCCAAGCATTCAGAGACATCTTCGTCCTCCACCAGTTCTGACTCCTCCCAGTACTGCTCTCCATCAGAAAGAGACAGCTCCAGCGTGGTTACCATTGATGCCCATGCCCCTCACCACCCAGTCGTACATCTGTCTTCTGGAAATGGCCCTTGGGAATGGAAGGCTACCCAGAAAGTTCCGGATAGCCAAGATGCTTATGAGCTCAATGAGATGAGCAAAGATTACCATGGGTTCCGGCCTGCCAAAAGCGCCGGAGTCTCACCAGGTTCCTCTGTCAGCGACATTGAACAGGAGGAGGCCCGTTACGGCAGCGTGGCCACCATCAATGTGTCAGTGGGTCTGGGAGGGAGTGCATCCTTGATTTCAGCAGAAACCAGCCCCGGGGAAAGCCTTCTAGGGGCCTCCAGCCGGGAATCCACCCTGCGGAGAAAACCACCTAGCTTAACGATGGGGGACAAAGACGGGCAAGCAGAAGAGACGGAAAACTATTATAAGAAGATGCAAGCCAACCGGGGATATAAGGAATAATCCCATCACCTACCTCTGGTCCCTGCTACCTTGGAGCAAACTATGATTACAATTGTGACTTTTTTTCAAACAAGCGTTGAATTTCAAATGGTGGGACTCCATCATGATTATATTCAAAAACCAAGGTCAAACCATCTGTTTTACCTGGTACCACAGTAATTCAAAGGACTGAATGAATATACACTAACAATAACGGTAAAGTAGACAGTCTTCCAAATGGCTCAAACGTCTAAGATTCCCATGGAAGACATTTATAAACAGAGAAGGTTTGGATCAAGTCAGGCTTTGGGATTATTTTACCTTCTACTGGGCTAGGAATGGATACTGTTGAAGAATTCTTGGCTGGATTTTCCAGAGGACTTAAACAAACGAACACAAAATGTGGATGGTATTAAAATAATCACAGCTTATTCATAACTAGTGATTGTAACGATAACAAGAGTGAGAAGGTGAGAATGGAACAATCCAGTCTGGATTTATTTGGGGTATCGTCTTGAGCAGTGCCGGTTGGATATAACCCAGTCTTTCCCAACCTGATGCCTTTGGATTTCCAAACCTGTCCTTTGGTTCAGCCTTTGGTTGCTTGGGAAGCCTGAGGTCAAATTCCCCCTGCTCCCCCACCCCCAGGAATCTGTATGTGTTTGTGGGGAGGTTGTAGTACTAAAGATGGGGTGAAGTGTTACAAAGAGGTGGGAGAAGGTACCTCTAAAAGTTCAATCTTCTGAGGTGTTTTGCAGCAGTGTTTCTCAAAGCTGGCAGCTTGAGATAGGCGGACTTCAATTTCCAGAAATCCCCATCTTTGAATAGATGGGGAACATAGGTGGATTTCAATCCCCATGAATTCTGGGAGTTGAAGTCATACCTTTTTAAACAATAAATATGTATATTGATTTTTTTTTAAAAGGAACAATAATAAAGGACAATACAGACTAAACCCAGAAAGGAAAAAATAATAACAAACAGAATAAGAAGTAGAAAAGAAGGAAAAAAAGGAAAGAGGGAAAAAAA